TGTCATGTGATTGTCATGTGATTGTCACATGTGGCTGTCATGTGACTGTCATGTGATTGTCATGTGATTGTCATGTGACTGTCATGGGACTGTCATGTGACTGTCATGCGATTGTCATGTGATTGTCATGTGACTGTCATGTGATTGTCATCTGATTGTCATCTGATTATCATGTGATTGCCATGTGATAGCCATGTGATTGTTCTTATTGGTTGTATTTTTACCATGAAGTATTTGCTTGACAGACAAGTGTTCCGTATCCAACTGGGGACTTCAAATTTCAAGTACAAACGAAGGGGATTTCCAATGGCAGCAACTAGGGGCATCGACTCCTACACCTGGAACTGGCAGTATAAATATACTTGCAAATGGTGCGTTATGTAACACATTGCATAAATGAAATCTACCCTTATTTAGTCTTCTAGAGGTACACTTTGTTCATCAGTTCAAAACCAGTGAGGTATACATACATATCTATACAGAATTAAAAAACTGGATTTTCTTACTACTGCCTCCTTAAAAGCCTTTCAAGCCAACAGTGGCTGTTGCTGCGCATGCGCAAAACGCAGTTTGTAATGGAGCATCATATCTTAAATGATGAAGTCCAAGACTGTGTTATCTGCCGAATTCGTACGTTGAAACCCATAAGATAATTGCTTGATGATTGTTATTAAAGGGGGAATAGCACGAAAATCATCCAAATTTCAATTCAGCTGAAACATTACTGGAATAACCCTTAAAGGTCTAAATAATCACTGGTTAAAGATTTTTCCTGATATTCGGATAGGAAGTATTATATTTTTGCGAATTTTTATGGGAGTATGTGACGTCATACACTCAACACTTAACATCGCTCCATACATTTCTTTATAAATAACTTCATGTTTTACTTTAATTCTATTGTACACAAAGGTCGGCTTAGGGACTTAACGTACATAACTTGTGGTTCACAATCATTTTATGGTATCTTTTCTCCAATACTGAACATAAAACTAGAAGATATTTTGATTACAAAATACAAGTTATTCATTAATTTTAACTTTCAGGACAACAAAAATACGAAAACGTTGCTCACCTGAGATCCACCATAAGCCATTCTAAAGATGTCATGTATGCTTGGAGGGCTTTGGATGGCCGTCGATCTAGTTTTTCTACCATCCTAATTGAAGAACCTCAGTGGTGGAACGTAGACTTTGGAAGGAGTGTCTACGTGTTTTCGGTTGAAATCGATGCTGATGTGCTAACTGAAGCCCAAGTTAACATTGAGCTGGATCATCGTGCGTGTGAGACACTGATCCTAAAATTCAGTTTTGGGATGGTAAAGAAAACAAGCTGGTGTCCRAGTGATTCTCACTTTTACAGATACTTCTCGAAAAACTTGAAAATCACGTTTACAAAACTCACACCAACATCTACA